TGCTATATTACAATTCCAATATTATTTATAAACTATATACATATGCATGCAGAGGGAAATATAACTTGTAGATCTACCGTGGAAAAGCTTCGTATATGAGGATCTCCAGCTTGAATTCTTGAAAATTTCATGTTTTGTAAGTGTCTGGGAGAGAGTTCCATAATTTGCTAGCTACTTATGAAAAAGAGTGTAGACCGTAAGTCGATGTTTTTGGGTTGGGAAGGGCCAGGATATGATTTCCGCCCAAAATGTAGGATGAAGACCGTACGGTGAACATATCTTTTAAATAACCTGGATAATTTGTAAATAACAGACTCATATAACGTGATCATGGAGTTCTGGAGGCGTCTAATGAATAGAGATTTTAAGTTAACTTTGCTTAGTAAAATGTCATATGGAGAGCTGTAGTCCTGTAGTATAAAAGGGCAAAAGTGAAAAATTTGTCCCAGGGTATTATTATTGTACAATTAAACATTGCACTCATTGCATTGAAATCTTACCATTCATGTCCTGTGTACTCATCTAGGTCAATGGAAAGCACCTTGATAAGATAATCGCTTCCTCGTTGGAAAAGGTTACCAAGAAGTCTGGAGACAAACTGAAGCTTCACGTCACTAGAACGATCTCAGGAAAACCTATGGCATGTGAGTTCAAGGTACAGTAAGATCCATTTCTCCTTTGTGGTATTGATCTTTTTTTTGATGTAAAATGGAAAGATAAAAAGAGATTTCTGAAAACCTTTATTACGGGCGTGGTACAAAAAAGAAAAGCGAGAATTCGAACCACAGCCAGATTCGATTTCGCGTTCAGATGATACAGCGAACTTTTATTGTTGTCAGCAAGCTGAATAGTGTGCTGTAGGTTCATGTAAGGGAAACGAATTTCAAGAAATTTTCGACTCATCAGTTTTGCGATCTTTTTTCACTAGTAGCCTTTTTGACGTTAACAACATGAACAATGAAACTCTGACTCGTTTTCATGCTCCTTTTGTTTCTTGAAGCATCTTCTAAACTCTCCGCTTTCGTTCGACTTCGTTTAAAAGGCGAGGCTTTCTTCTTCGTTATTTTACAACCGATAAAATTTACGATTTTATGTCACATTTTTTTTCTCGCTTCCATTTAGCCGACGAGTTATACTGACTCCGAATCTGACACTGTCGTACTAAGACGCCTCCCACGCGGTAATGGCGACAACCGACTGTCACTCATATCAAATGACAGCTCAATATCACGTGACTCCAAATTTTCTTACAACTCAAGCCTTGGCTCCATGAGCTCAAACAATGATTCGTCTCTGGCTGATTCGAGCTCGGATCTCTATGGCAACAGATTCACTGGGTATGGCCTCTTTATGCCCGACCGGCATCGAACTCCAACGACCATCTACAGCCCTTCGTCTGACACTCAATTAGAAACGATTGTCGCAGATGATTGGCCGGACGTAGGGACTGGGAACGATTCTCAGACTTCCACGGATGCAAAGGAAAGCGATTCGCATAATCATAGCACTCTAAAACCCAACATTCGATCACCAATGAACCGAAAGTTTGTTAGCACGTCGCAACTGCAGTCGGGAACGTTTTTGACGCCGATGGGTGCAGATGGAACATTAGTTCGGGCTCAGTCGACCATCACTGCTGTTCGCGTGGACGATGATGGGTTGACTTCTAACTTATCGAAATCCTCTACATGTGGAACGATTGTTCCACTGGGAAGAAGGTAATTAGAATTAAGATCTTCCACGATTCTGACCCTCTGCTCCTTAAAATGTTGCATGCGATTGTCAAGTGTGAAATTAATTTGAAACCGTCTTCATATGCCTTAAAGCGTGGTTTGGTTTCAGAAAAAAATTCAAGGATATGAAGAACCGAATATTTCACTCGTTCCATTTCGAAGGAGTATCACTGAATTATCCTCAAATACCATATAGTTTGAGATGAAATCGTAATTTAGAATGGTTAGTAACGGTCTTCAAAGTTTTTTTGCAAAGTAGTTTGTTGCACAAGCCAGTAAACAAAACAGATTTTCTTAATCAGCATGTTACAACCGGGTAACTACAAAACAAAAACAATAACAAAATATTCTCTCAATATAACTAGCAGATTTGAGCAGTAATGCTCTTTGAATCGTGCTAAAAATTAACGAAAGTTAGTACGGTAATTTTTTACAAGGCAGAGAAAAGTCATGTTCGTATGTTGCTCACTTTTACTTTGTCAACCCCAAGAATGACCAAAATGAATTTCTTCCTACAATGTCCATTAATTCGCAAGCAGAAAAGTAACTAAAAGAAAGAAAAATATCAATCAGGGAAAATCATTGGATTTCGTACCTAATTCTCAGATAAAAATTATTAGAAATGTAAAGCAGACAGTAGGGAGAATTGTTTTTCAGATCTTGGAAATGAAAAAAACTGGTAACTAATCCTACTTGTCTCTTCCCAGTCCTCGTATAATGCGGTTCGAGAAGAAATCATTGGATGGCCTGGGAGTAGAAGTCTCTGGTGGTTACCGTGTAGGTATTTACGTCATCGAATTGCAGGAGAACTCAATCTGTAAGGCCGTTGGCCTTCAAGTTGGAGATAGGCTGCTGAAGGTAAAAAATGAAAATTTTTTTTGTATTGTTTTTCTCTCCCTGTTTTATATTTGGTGTTTCTATAAACAAATAATAAAAAGATGAAAAAGTTTATTTGATGTTAGTGTGATGTTTGTGAGGGAGTATTTACTTTAATGTCTTGAATGACGGAGAAACTTAGTCAAAGCTGAATTGATCTATGAGCTCAAATTTAACATTCGTGTATTACATCTCTTACCCTTTAGCTTAACAGTTACGATCTCACCAGAGCAACCCTGGATCACGCCACACGGATTGTTCGTCTTTTACGCACGTGCACGTATATCAGAATCGAGGCTCAACAAGTATTAAGTAAGTCTCACGTCACATCTACCATCTTTACTGCTATTAAAGGTTGTAATGGTCGAGTAGCTTCAGGATGTGAGTGAAGTGCTCGTGCTGCGTTTTGGGAGGGGAAGCGCAATGCCCCCCATCCCTGTCCCGCTTCGTCTCAGCTGGTTTGGAAAAGCCAGGTCCGGGACGTCGACGAAGAGTTCGAACAACTGGTTGATAATTTTCACAATTATCTGAAATGGAAATATTAGGAGTAGCCACAATAGGGAATATAATTAAGCGCTACTCAAAGTTTGATGCTGCCTCTTAGCTCTTCAAATCACAAATTTTTTCACTGAACGTCACTCTGTTTCTCTCTTTTTACTTTTACTTTTTCTCGTGCTTTCATCATTCCTTCAAATTTTACACACGAGTATCATTCTTGGATGCATAGGGGCAACGTGATCCAATTTATCGACTTTCTTTAAGTTAAATCGCTATATCATCGGTTAGTTTGTGTTATTCTGTTCAGTTCTAATCAAGCAATTACTCTTACTTTAGATTACGAGGAGGTCCTTGGAGACAAACCCTACGATTCGCTTTATGTCAGGTGAGTAAATAGAGAGCGTAGAGGCAACTTTTAACCCTTTAACTCCCAAGATCTCATAAGTGATTCTCCTTACTGTCTACCATACAATTTATATGATGTTAGTTTGGAGAACTTGGAATTGGATCAACCAATAATCCCCTAATTGATACTTTTCTTAATTCTCATTACTCGTCTGCTTGATATTGTACTGGTTAAAGTGTGAAAAGAGTTAGCTTTTGACAATCTCGAGGTGGTTTAATGTGTGGAAGACAGAAGTGGCGCAAAATTACGGGCGCAAATCACGCCTCTGGGAGCCAATAAAATGCCGTGATTTTGAAATGTTGTATCTATTGACAAAATTCCCCTCTCCCATCCACCATATTCCTGTAGACATTTCCAATTCGAAAGAGTTGGGTGACATTCAAAGTTCAAGGTAACGAGATTAACAATTCAATAGAACTGTACAATAAGTCAGATGATGGTTTCCCGTACAGGACAATTCACCCTTATAAGGCAATGGCTCCGGACGAACTAAGTTTTACTGTTGGAGAAACATTGCACGTGATAAACACGCGCGCAAATTACGATCAGGCGAGACAGAGCTGGAAGTGGGTGGCTCAGCGTGCGAGGAAGGACGGGAAGGTTCTCGAGGAAGGACTGGTGCCCTGCATGGGAAGGTAAACACGATTGATGACTTTACTAACAAGAATGCAAGCCACAAAGTTTTGGCAAACCTTTCCTATTTGCGGAGCACAGAGTTGGTGAAAGACTGAAGGCAACTTCAAGATGATACATTTAGAATTAACTACCTTTAAATTTGGGGCAATTTTAAAAAGTAGTAGATTTTGAACAATTTAAAGTAGCGGTAAATACGCGGAAGAAATAACTGGCTTATCAAGCAAAAAGTTGTAGAAGATAGAAAGGAAGAATCGGTGTACAATTAGGATAAATTAAAAAGAGAAAAAATTATGGAGTGGTGGCTAGAGTAAAAAATACGAAACAAAACGGTCGAAGGCATTGTCAAAAATGCAAACACACTTGCACACATCTTGACGAGACCATGTATAGTATTTCAGCCGGCACCATAAATGTTGATGATCTTTAACTTAAACTCGTTGTGAACCAACTGATCAATTTTAAATTATTTGCGTAATTTTGTGCTTTTTCATCAGTATTCCAGAACATGTAGAGTCTGCTGTCCTGACGCAAACTTTTCAGCGGTTTGAATCTGAGTCAGAGGAACAGATGAGTGATGACGCACCATCCACGTTGAAGAGAGCGTCAACTGAACGTCGCAGTATCATACAGCGATACCGCAAACTCATGAAACGTGAGAGTAGAGATTTACCCAACAACACTGATGAAAACGGTGAGAGCAGACTTCCTTGGCAATTGCTTATAGCTCAAACTTTTCATCGACATGGTATCGACGCCGATTTAAAGTACTTTTTATTTCAATATTGCATGCTTTAATTTGCTTTAAATATGATGATATCTCCGCAAAACGAAAAAGAAACATCACTGCGATTTCCCTCTATTTATTTATTTTTTATAGTTTCGCAGTTCTCATGGCCTTTAACGCGGGAAGAATAGCTCCTTCTTTCTTTGAGTCCCTTCATGCCGTCATGGAAGTAGATTTAATATTTGCAGGAACAGTCGATCTCCCGTGATCACCTTTTTACACATACGATGATAAGATCACTAAATAAGTCTGTCAGAAGTAACCTCATAGTTATATGGCGTAGAATGCCTTTTAAATCTTTTACTTCATGACTTGATGGCAATTGTTTGCCCAAGGTTCCAAAATGCTCGGTTGTGGGGTAGATAAGGCCAAAGTTAAGACCTATGTAGGTACGTAAGGATTTCACCTATAAAAAGTAATTTTTCCCAGGTTTTTTTGAAAGGATAAGAATACTCCAGACGTTGGATAAAATTAGGGTGAGTTGCACTTTTTAACATACTGCATTTTCTCCCGGCTAGGTAATACAAACAAAGTGACTTTCTACGAAATCCTTAGCAAGATTTCAGACTGATTGTCAGCGATGCTTGATCGCCCCAAGAGCACGATGGTTACCTTTTTTAACAAAAGTTTCACCAACGGATGAGCCGATGACAGACTATTGATCTGAAACCATCAGAGAACAATAGGCTTAAACGGTGCAGTGCGGCATATTTGGTGCATTGCCCTCGTTCGACATGACATCAACAGTAAGAAGAGAAAAAAAGACCAGAATTGTTTAAGAGCGACATGCATTTACTATTAACTTATTCGTTAGTTACTAAAACTCGGTACAGGTAAGCGCATGTTATTGTTAATGAATGTTAGCGCAAAATGCCCATTTCCATATCTTTATTCCTGTTTCCCTTGGAAAGAACAATATCAGCTAGCCATTGAAAAAACAGTGCGAAATATTTATAACGATGCTAAGATCCATCATTTCGGGTACTTAGATTAAGGTATCAGTAAGAGAGCAAAAAGTTACAAATGTCCATTGACAAGAGACAAATGCAAGGTCAAAAGAAAGAGAGTAGGCTGACGTTCATCATGGTCTGTTAAGATTCCTTCTGTCTCACTTTGAAAATTAGACCCTCTATTATGGTTTGATTACCAAGTAACCATAACTGATGATACTGTAATCCTCCTGAGTATTTAATCATAAGATAACCATCACTAGAATACTTTGTTTAATGGCGAAGGTAATATAGATTATTTGCATGTAATGAAATTCTGAACTATTTGTCTTAAGAAAATCGCTTAGTTATATATTTGATAAGTAGCACGCCCGTTTGGCCTTGGAAATTCTGTCAACGTAAGCCATGAATTAGGACAGCCATAGAGGGGAAGATCACCAATAATATAACTTATTTAACGAGTGTCACTGTGCATATAACAATCTTGATATTCCCATCTCTCTATTCCAAAGATTTCAATCTCCCTAAACGTGTGGCACGTATCAGAGAGTTATGTAATCCATATCGTTAATAGTACCTTTCCCTTTGCCGAAGATGGTTGCACTTAAAATGACAAATCAGAATATTTATAGGATTTTCATTGTTTCAATGCATTTTTCCTCCTCTTAATATAGATGATATGACAAATGCATGTTGTCCGACCATAACATAGGTAATATAAGAATTTTTAATCGAAATTACAACTTTTCCATAGAAAATATGTTTTCCATCGGTCATATCTCATTAAGTTTATATTTTAGAAGTTTCTTTGAGTAAATGTGAAAAAGAGAAAGTTTTTTATAAACAAGAAGATGTATAGTAATAATTTAAGTTCTTCCTCTTAGGTGTATTTGTTCTTGTTATCCTTATTTTACGGGATACATAAAAAATGAGGATTATTTTTACAGTTAAGTCACTTCTTGGGGTGTAATGTTGTATTGCTATTGGAGAGATCGTAAGTAATTTATAAAACGAAACAAAACAAACCAAACGAAAAATAAAACAAACCATTAAACAGACTAGAAAAAAAAAAACAACTTAATCTAACAAAAAAACAAACAAACAAACAGTATAAGGGGAAGCTCACCCCTCCTCGCCCCCAAGTTCTGAGTCCTGTTTCTGCCGTTACCTGCTCCTCAACACCCTTCGTTTATTTTTCCCTTTCGACTCTAATTATATTAAGATGAGTTTTCGATGATCGGCCGGAGTTGGCTAAGACTGACAACAGCGGATGGTTAAGGAACATAGAGAAGGTTAAAGCAAATTGCAATCGACTATAAATTGTAATAACTTGGTTAAAGTTTTTGAGGTGCATCAACAGCGACGTACCCAACTAAAGATATTAGTATCTTTGAAGAAAATTTCTCTTTGATCTGAAACTCCTCGAAAGCCACACATTTTCTGCAGTTCGTACCTAGTTCGATGCGATCGAACCAGGTAACTATGACGAGGGCCAGAGACAAACGAGGTAACCATGACGACGACCTTGGCTAGATCAGTCGTTATAAATTTCGAGCAACATCACTCAGTGATGATGGAAATGGGAGAGCATATTGCTGGTTGAGAACAATCTAAAGATGCAACATAAGTAGTGCCGGGTAGAGGAAAGGGATGGTGGAAAGAGGTTGCGCGCAGTACGATCATGCGACACGAATTAAAACCACACAGGGTCAAGTTCCTTTTGACAACTCTAATTAGCAGCGTGGAGTTGACATTCTGTTTTGCTTGTATCGAGTTTCGTGATCTTCCAGCAAGCACCTAAAATCTTCCAACGATCGGCGTGAAAACCCTGAGAAAGAAACTTAGTTAAGCACAGTTATATCATGTCGATATATAGGCGATAATGGTGTTTGAAAGCCAAAATAGACGCGCAATACTTGTAGTACTTAAATTAGAAGAGAAAAAAAAACTGAAAACAAATACAAACGCACGCATAAAGATGAAAGGAAGGATCCTTGAATTCACGTGCTGTTTGCATTTCTAGACAGTGTTAGTATCATTTAGGCACCGTTTCAAGTTGTCATGAGAAGCCTTTTGTTCTAGTGGTAAGAAAAGGCAAACGCGGTAATGCAGCACTGTATTTCCATTATAATGTACAACTCTTAGTTTTGAAAGCATTTCAACCATATCGTTGACATAAGCACAAGCCTATGTCCACAAAGGGCTTATAATTTGGAATACATGCAAAGTGAATGTCTGCAACTGAAGTATTTCGCAGAAAGGTTGCTAGTTCTACAAATTTACATCACATCGCGCAGGAATCAGTTCGTTTCCTTGTAGAAAACGTCGATTTTAGTGTCTTAGAGTACTTAATTGATGACCGTCACGCTGGAAAACGTGAAAATGAGTTGTTTGCGGATAGAAAACTTGCTTAATATGACAACACTCGTTGACAAATCTTATATTGCAAAAAAATTCTGATACAGTATTTGGATGCACATAGACTAATCATCACTTTAACATTCGGGGAGCTCGGCTGAGTATTCAGGTTAATTTATTTTCGCATCTTTGAAGCCGAATAAAGTGGATAGCCGCTTCAGCAATTATGGGTGAGTTATGATCAGTTTTATCGCTATGACATGGTAGTCTAGAGAATTAATTATGCCATGCATGACACCACTTTGTCACATCTAACAATTAGAATCGTAACCAAAGTAATATAACTGATATGTGCGCTATGTTGGTTGGCTTAATTCATAGAAATTGCTTCAGCGCGTTAGCAAATGTGCTTTCTCTCTTCATGCAGAAAAAAAAATTGTTGCACAATTTACTTCACCGATGAATTTATTTGTTCACTATGTAACCATGTTCATTGTCGTCAAATACCATGGAAGTTTTTCATAATCAAGTGATAAAGTATTGAAATGACCTTTGGTCAGAAAAAAAAAGTATGTAACTCACTATAAGCTTAGAATTTTCACAATCTTCTGCGATGAAAGTGAATACTAATGTATCAAATTCCGAGTTTTACGCTCAATGTTGTTATTACGTTTTATCTTCATGCTAGATGATTATTGAATTTCTTTTGTTTCCTCATTTTTTTACTAAAACAAGTTCGATCGAAAAGTCACCATAACGAACTAAAAAACTTGCAACTCAATTGAGGCCAAGATTCTGGAGGCCTCCTTATAGAATCTCGAATAAAGTGACGGTCTTGTTCGTCATCTCCGCTTTGCGTCGACTCATTGATGAACAATGTCCTCATTTCTGCGGGCTAATTGCCGAAACCACCAGTCCATTGTTTGCTTCGAGGCTCCAATATCGGTTTGTTATTCATTGCACACCGCTTTCGAGAATCCGTGCTAATCAAGCGAACAAAAAGATTTTGACTTAATTAGACATTCAATCGAAACACAAGACTACATCGGAACTGCAGCTCGAGGTAGGTGTAACCTTAAACGGGAATGCATCAGTATTAGGTGGAGACAGGTCCAAGCATCTCACAAGAAATTATGATAATCTCCGAACATAACGTTGGTCTCTTGTTTTGAATCTAAAGAATAACTCATAGAGCTTTTTGAACTGTCACTACAACCAAATAGCCGGCGGTGACCGTAAGGGTTCACATTTCTTTTGAAAAAGTGAAATTTTTCGATATTCTACTTGAAAGTTATTTTTCTGGATTTGTGAACATGCCGTGCGTTTAATATCTCTGTTGTGCAAAGAGCTCCAATAGATAAGTGGCCAAATCATCGTGGATCGGTTCCAGCGTTTCAAATCTGTCTTGCATTCTTACATTGTTTGTTCAGTCCAAATCATGTCAGTGTTTATTGTTTTGTTAAATTGAATTTAAAAGCGACGATTCAAAACGAGTTTATAGACAAAAAGTTACGATCATTGTTACTTCGTAAAGATTGAATATCAGGGCGAATGCTGTAAAAATATCGCCTTCATCACAGTTGATGGGTCGAGAGAATTCTTTAGAAATTGGAAAGTGCTTTAATTTCATCGAAAGTTAAACAAACAAACACTTCTCTCTCGGAATTGATGGGATTCAATAAAAAAAATTCGCTAAGATTGGTGTGGGAATCGAGGCAGCTGAGTTCAAGGGAAAGAAATAACGTCGTTTCATAGTTTTACAGCGATACAATTTTGATTTTAAAATTTAGCAACATCAGTGATTGACATTCATCCCATTCATCCGATTACATGCACAAGAAACAATTAATTTTTACAAAGAAAGACTTCGAAAGATCTATTTGTAGTGTAAGATTTTCAATGCCTCATCGCTTTTTTACAAGAAGTGCATTCTTTTTTGCTTGTTAGAAACCTCAAAATGATGTAAAAACACCTAATTACTCATACCGATCATATTCTATAGCGGCACTCGGAAATGCCTGTTTCTTTGTTTATCCTGTTTCATGCCCATTCATGCTTACTACAAAGGAAAAAAAATGAACAACAGGAACCGACCTGTTTCTTTTGTTAACTCTTGCGCTGGTCGCTTGTGTCTTGTGTTGTATTTGACAAAATTAACCACTCTTTTGTCTTGTGGGAGTTTATGGTCTAACGGAACATAGCAAAAGCTTATGCACTGTTCAATTAATGAACCAAAACTCAAAACTTTGGAAACTTCTGAGAAACTTAATTATTAGAGAAGGGTAAAAGAATGGGAAGAGGAAAAGGACAGAAATATGTCGTTCTACAAGGAGCTCCTCGCTCGTGTTTATCTCGACTGGCCTCGACGTAGTTCAGATCAATTTAGGGTTAACAACTTAGTTGAAAACGTAAATTGGCCACCGTAAAGAGTTTAAAGGCTAACGTTTCAAGCGTTAACGCTTCGTCAGCTCTGACGAAGGGCTGACGCTCGAAACGTTAGCCTTTAAACTCTTTACGGTGGTCAATTTATGTTTTCAACTCAGTTGTTAACACTAAATTACCTGTTATACTCTCCCACCGACACAGCGCCACAGTTTCTTTAGAAACTTACCCCCTTTATTTGTAGTTCACATCGGTCATTTGTTATCACTTGTCGTTCATGAAAAACAAAATAATTCAAGCCCAACTAAATTATCGTTTGCGTTCTTCTGACGTCATCTCAAGTGCATTACGGACGATAACTCGAAAATTTGAATCTGACTTCCGCTCATAAAACAATATTTAACCCAAAGTAAAAAGCATGGCTTCTCAGTTGCGTTAAATAAAGGCGTTCTCATTATTATTTTTTTATGGCAAACTTTGGCGAAATCATGTTAGCCTTCCCTTTACATTTAACTGAAACAGTGCAGCTCAATAGAAATTTCGAGTAAAAAATGCGACTTCCTATCTCATGAAGAATGCTTTCGAGGAATTGACTGATGTTGGATACTTACCTTCAGTTAAAGAGTTGTAGGAATTACGAATGGTTTGTTTGTAGTTAGGTAATTATGGTGTCATTCGGGTCGAAAAAAAAAAGAAGGTTTCGTTTGACAAAAAACGAATAATCCAAGCCAAGGTATGTTCCGAATAATTTGGTTTTATCAACTGAGTTATTCATGTAAATAAACAAAGAGTAAAGAGTTTTCTAATTCTAACGTTTCGAGCGTTAACCCAAAGTCAGAGCAGATGCGTCTCCAAGACTAAAAACCCAAAGTACGCGAAAATTTTAACAGAACAGAGAGGAATTTCAAAGATAATCCTGTCAATGTTGGTGTAGCCATCAGTGATTAAAAGACATTCAAATCCACCTTTTCGAAAATAAAATGAATAATTAATAAATAGATATATGAGGGAGAATTAAAGGCATTTCTTTCGAAGAAAGATTTCAGGTTAACTTAAAATTCACAGAGTTTTCTGTAAAATCATCAGTCGACAACAAACTGGTTGCTTATACTCGAAAGAATGATGATGTACTTAATATCGTAATAAAGTCATTAAACATATTTGCCTTGTTATATATGTGTTCTGTGGAAATCTTTTTTTTTCCCTTAATTAAAAATGCAATATTTTTTTCAAGGGCTCAGTGAAATAGAAGATTTACGACAACGATATAGTCACCTGGAGGAGCTCTATAGAGACGCTGTTAAGGAAAGAGACCAAGCGATCGAGGAGAGGAACAAAGCCACTGTGCTTATTGCTCTTCAGTTACAAAGCGAGACCGAAGAACTGAACAAGCGGATTGAGACACTGCAAATTCAAAACAGGAAGTTGGACGAGGAGAATGAAGATCTAAAAATAAGACTTGGTTATGCCAAGGCTGACCTGAACAAGTTGCAGCAAACGCACATAAAACTACAAATTGAACAAGAACGATGTTTGCAAGAGAAAGAGGACGCGTTGGCTCAAGTTAAAGAATTTGAGAATTTCAGGAATAAAAGCCAGATTGTTGAAGTAGTTGATAACCAAGGTGAAGCGAAAATGACAAGTGAACAAGAGGTACGTCTCTAAAAATACTCCAACTTTGAATCTATCAGAAAATTCATAAATTTCACCCTTCAACTCTCACAAGTGACCAACTATTAATTTCTATACATATATATATATATATATATATATATATATATATATGTATGTATATATCTAAGCATTGTCATGGAAACAAGCGATGAGAGTGGATGAGAATGCCATACAAGGGAAACTGTTTGATATAACACGAAATTCTCAGAACTAACTGTAAGAAATGCAAGGCCGACAAAAGGAATAACTGTCCTATCACAGATCTTCTTATACGTGCACCATTTTCGGCTTTTTTTATTGTACAAAAACATAATTGTAATGACATGTTTACAAAGTAATAATAGTGGAGAATTTAAAAAAAGAAAAAAAAAACTACATCACATGATTGCTTGCCCGTATAGTGGGTTTGTCCTTATCTCCATTTTGCAAAAAATTCGAAGGAAATTGGATAATACTCTTTGCTGAACATGGAAAAGTAACAGATATGTAGAGATCACAACTGACTTACAAATTCAATACGGTTGAGAAATATCATAAGACACCGCGAGAAGCCTAAGTTAACCATATTCTAGCCAGGTTGACCAATTGCTGGCAACATTTAAATATGTCCTTTACGAGTTGTGCTTATATCCTGTCTTACTCGTGAATTTAACCAAAAAAACCAAGAGCCGTGACAATGATCTTTAGGTGCCAAATTCGTCAAACATTTTGGAGGTCAAATAGTCTCAATGATTTTCAAAAGGGAGGTAAACATGGGTTCATTGGAAAAAATCGCTAGGCTTCACCTATGCATTAAAAATATCATCTGTACTTTCATAGGCAGGCTAAGTAGTTGCTACGTTCATAGATTTGTTCAATAGCAGATTGCTTCTGTTCCAGATCATCGTTTAGAGGTATTTTCTGACGCCTTTGAAACGGAAAAGGTGTGATCAGTCCCTTAATTGTCCTAAAAAATTGTGGAAGTTTAATTTGAGAGGCAAAACATTCCTCAATAATAACGTATTCCATGGCCAAATTGTTGTTTTGAAGGTAGATTTCTCAATAAATTTAGCAAATCAAATCAAGGAATGGTCTACCTCTCAATTCACAGCTTTTCAATTTAACAAAATCATTGATTGAATTATCCCGTTTTTATTTCTCAATGGTATGCTCTTTTATTCGCGGGCGAAAACGTTACCACAATACATTCACTGAACCGTGCACTGTTTTTGTCTCCGTGTGAGAGTTGTGAAGCGCTAACCTCTCAATCAAAAAAGTCGATTTTGCTTCGGCAACGTCGAAAAAATGTGGCCCAACATCGATAGGTCGGATCTCAGTTAAGTTTCTAAATCTGCTTTAAGCGACGAGATTTCTGAAACGTCTGAAAATGGGTTCCACAAGCTGCATGCCGTCTTTTGGTAAATAACGAGAAGATGTACAAATTCTTCGAGCAACTGAGTACAATATTTGAGGTAAGTTTCTCCTTCCAAATCGATTTTTATCGCCTTAATGTATCCTCATTAGAGATGAAGTCGTTCCGTTTGGTAAAATGTTACCATCGCTCGCCAATATCGCACACAAATTACTTTCGACAAGGAAAAGTTGCTTGAGTTTTAAGTTCATTATAAAAACAAATGAAAAGTTCACGGATGAAGTGTCTGTGTGAAAAGATGAAAAAGCACAGAAAATCAAATGAATCCCAGCATCTAACTTCAAAGATAGCGCAGATGTTAACTGATTTAGATACGCGCACTTTATTTACTTTCGAACTGATATTGCGAAGTAATCTTGTCATAATTTTTCTCTAAATGTTCTTTGCATAATTATGTATGTCATTGGAATATTTATCCTGTCATTTTAGACACGTGAATTTGTAAGGTAGTAGACGTTCTGAGGAATCTGAAATATGTTGTTGTTGGTAAATCCAAATGCACGCAAAGCGTTTTTGACAAATTTATTTCCTGCAACCTTCTACTTATCTTGTACCATAACGAAAAACTGCGGTTGCAAAATACTTTCGATAGTTTCAGCTTTGTTATGTATGCAACACCGAGTCCTGTATTCCTGAATGTCTATTTACCTCTTGACGGAAGATGAATTGCGCTAAAGGGGCTTGACTTTTACCGATCTTAAACAACATTACTTTATCTAGATCGCTGGAAAACTACTATCAAAATGGCGGTCTATCTCTTGTACCATGAATTAGAATCAAAACAAGAGAATAGCTGTATACGGAACCTACGCTATTTTTATTTAAAAAAATATGAATTTTTCATGAAATCTGAAAATAGCGATTACGCTTAACGACTTCTGCTATTATTTGTGGTTGCTTTTACCCTGCCTAACGACTGCGCATACCACAAACTGATCGGTTTAATAATATTAATTGACAAGAACACAGTCATTGCCTAAAGATGTGTCTTTCCATTGAATTATTTTTCTTTACTTTTAGGATCCCGCTTACAGCAATGTCAGGGACGAGATTTTCACATCAGGTAAACTATTATGTTGTTATTAGACTCACAATGGGGTAAGCGAGTCTGTAAAGGTTCGTTAGATCCCTTGCTGATTCCTTCATCACATGCCAAATTTAGTTTGTTGGCGAAACAATGAAAACGTGTGGGAAGAAAATGCATCATTATAGCCTGGAGCTTACCTAACATATTTTCAGAAATAAATCATCGAAGAAAAAAAGGAATGTGTGTTCCCATCATTTTTTTGCTGATGACAGTTCTACCTCGGATTGCAATGGTCTGGATGAGTGTTATCGAATGTGCCCTATTCGCTTCAGAAAGGTCTTCTAGGCAGCTCTCTGCCATATTGTCTATACGACCCACATGATTTTAAATAGAGCCGAATATCTTCAAGTTGAGTCTGGTCACTTTGTAAACTCTAAAAGTCTATTCATTGCCCTATACGGCGACTGCACAATGATTCTTTACCGTGAATAACTGTGCATCAACTATATCATTTGCTGTTAATGGCATTTCGCCACAGGTTTTTGACATCTGATGGTCAGTTTACTCATCCGTTGTATTACTATTTCCTTACTTTCATTCCGAACCCGTTCCCCCACTTGAATTAATCCCAAATTTTCTTACTGAGGGGCCGGGTCCATTTTTCAGTCCTTAATTTTTGTTTTGGCTTTCGTTCCCAACTAGTCACCCCGCTTACCCATTTCCTTCACATCCAGTCTTTCAGTTGTTCCTGAGCCCCTAGGTCTTCCTATTCTCGTCATTTCCCACCATTTCCTCGTGCCCGAGTGATTCTTTCGATAAACGTGCTTTTTTCTTTACTGCCGTTTATTTCATCACGCGAACCACCCATAGCCGAATCCTTCTCCGACTCACTGGTATTGTGCTGCACATATCTTTTTCTACGCAAAATTGCGAGTCATCGCGACAAGATCTTTCATCTTTCCAGGATCCGGTGAAAAACAGTTGGACTCATTTAGTTCCCCTCCTCTGTTTTCCTATTCTCATCCCTTTTCCATACCAGTACATTCGCCTTTTTTCTTAGGTTGCCCTTCACTATGAAGCCTTCCTGATTCTCCCCTGCGGGGCGATGCCTGAGAGATCGATAATCCTCTCTTAGAAATATCTTCCATCGATGGCTCACTTATAGATTTCTTGTCCATTGTGACGGTTGTGGTTTATATTGACTTCCTGTGTGCTTATGCCTCTCAAGCAGAGTCATTGTAATGATTACCACATACTTCATTTAAGATTATGAGGGCAGGAAGTATGCTTTTAAAAAATCTACTTATGTTCTCAGCCTATTATTTGTCTTTTAGTGTTCTCGTTCTGTTTAGTACCTTTTTTCTTGGCCTCCTGTATACGGGGAGAAAGTTCTTACTTTCGTGGTCATTTTGCATTACCACAAAAACAATTTTTTCGTTGATAAGGTAACTACATGTGTGTGATTTTTATCCCAGGTGCGGATGAAAATCTGGAACTGGAACCCAAACCACCCGTGACACTAAAGAAGTCCGGTCTGGACGATGTCTATAATGTCCATGAGGAGATCGGAAAGTAAGCAACGGTGTTCATATACAAGCATGTAATCACTTGTTAAGATTGAACGGGGGCGATAAACGTTGTGCCTTTTGTTTACTTCAGTGAGAAACTTTAGTCTCACACTCTCTTCATTAAGGAGTCTAAGAGGCACACCTTTTAGAAAAAAAGACGACGTGATGAATACCTTGCAATGGAATGGTTTGCCTCCCCGAGTATCTTGATGATTCAACCACAACCAGAAAATCGTTTCCTGACACACTTGTGATTAGATAAAATGTAACATAACCAGCTGCACGTGATTTTTTTAGTCCCGTGACATCTAAAATCTAGTTTCTCATCGAACAGAGGAAAGTTTGGTGTAGTGAAGAGAGTTACAGAACGTTCTTCAAAGACCACGTTTGCCGCCAAACAAATCCGGCTCAGTACGGCTGGCAGCGGTTCATCGCGAGATGACATCGTGCGTGAAATTGATATCATGAACAAGCTACACCACAAGAGGCTTGTGGGATTGATTGATGCGTTTGAAACGTCCAGGAATATCGTCATGATAATGGAATTGTGAGTATCATTTTATTAAAACTAGTAAAGATAAATTCAAACGTAAGTGTTACATCGGAAGGGAAAACGTGAACTGTTATATTTTATTCATGAATTAGTTAAAGGATGGCTATCTTGTTCCCTGTAATTTTTTTCGTATTTTTATAAGTTGGTAACAGGATTTGGAATCGTCCAATGAAAGCTTCCTTGCGGGAAACACCATATTTATGACATAATTATTATCGATCAAGAATCCAGTAAGAGTAAAACATCAGGCATGCCTCATTTAAAAATAACGACCCTTAACTCATCGATGATAACACTTTATGTACTAACCTTTCGCACGTTTTCTCGCCATTTGTTTTAGTTTTGTACCTCTCATTCTCAAAATTGGTTCAGTTAGAACTTAGACCAGCAGGGTTTTGAAGATTAATTGGAGACCCAAGACGATTATTCTGATAACTTTTCTTCTCTTTGTTTAGTGTGTCCGGGGGTGAGCTGTTTGAAAGAGTGGCGGATGCTGATTGCTTGACGGAGAGGGAAGCTTCTTTTTACATGTATCAATTACTGCAGGGTCTTCAATACATGCACACCAAGAATATTGTACATCTAGATCTAAAGGTAGGAAATATCTTACATTAGGCTTAAAAAGTAAAACCTCCTGAGCAGAAGAATGAAAAATTGTTCTACCTTCCTTCTACATCCCGACACGTTAGGAAATCTTCTTACAAAGAGCCTATAGATACAGCTACTTACTTCCTCACCTTTATTACACATATACACCATTACTGATATTAAGTTCATTTGAAACCATGCAATCGGATTCATATAAGTATTGTAAAAGAAATATTTTGTCAAAAAGCAAGCAGTTTAAGTGCCCGAGTCATGAGTTTCCAACAAGGATGAAGAGCTAAATTTAATGGTGCGGAAGGACAAACGAGGAATAATTATTTTGCTTCCTAAGTTTTGTACTGGTAATTAAGGAGAAGGTAAACGCTTTCAAAACCTCCTTTTTCTTTTTTTTTTTTTTCCTTTTTCCGCAGCCTGAAAATATCGTATGCGTAAGCAAGAACAGCTGGGATATCAAACTTATCGACTTTGGCTTAGCACAGGAGCTCGTGCCGGGGGTCAGAATGACTGCTCTCAAGGGAACCCCTGAATTTATGGGTACGTTTTCTCTAAAATGTTCCCCACAAATACTACTGAATTTCGTTAATAAAAGTTGTTCGAGAACAGCATCTTGCTTTTTGCTTATCTCTTTTTATCTTTTTTTTCAGTACCACCCCTTCTTATGCTTGTACTTTGTTTATATATTTGTTGGTTTTTGTTTTTTGCCTTTTGATGTTTTGTTTGTCTTGTTTCTTTAGCTCCAGAAGCGGTCAATTTTGAGCCCATTTCATTGGCTACTGACATGTGGTATGTTCTTAAAGTTCTTTTATATGATCACTTCATGGTTAATTGAAGTACATACTTCTTCGTTTAACGAAAGTCGTCCTAAGTCTCCATTATCTCGCTGTTTTGAAGCGGTTCCAGAAATCTGAGGATCAAGCTACCGAATTTAATGAATAGAAAAGAAAGAGTAAATTGATCTAAAGGCAAGGAAGGGTTGAGGATGATAGTTTTCTTAGTCTTTTTTTTTCAACAATAATAGCCAATTGCTAAACTATTTATTATTTATTTGACTCAACATATTTATTAATAATCATAGTTAATACAATATAGTTGTACACAGTAACAAAAAATGAAGGAAGTTAAATGGTCATTGAAATTTATCATCAGAAAAAGATCATAATAATAATAATAAGGATACGAATAGAAGGAAAGGGATTCTGGAAAAGATTCTTACCTGTTCCAGGAAAAACATTCAAGATCACTTCCTTGTTGCTATGGAGACTTCGCTTGGTGTGTATGTGGCGACTTCGATCCTGGGCAACAGATGAAAATCGCTTGATACATATTTTAGTTTAAGTGAACGTAAGCAAGAGTACAAGTTTTAAGAGTATTTATAGTACTTAAAGAATGAGTACTGACTCTTTACCATAAAGGTGATGAAATTCAATGTTTTATCTTTCAGGAGCGTTGGTGTCATAGCTTACATCCTGTAAGTATCTCTCTCTATGTGATATGAACTTTGTGCGGTAATTTTGTGGCTTTATATACAAATAACAAGTGAACTAAGCAGTGAAGGCCTTCTTCACGAACGGTTTGTTCTTCGAAAAGAATAGCTTAAATTTCGCTCGTTCATCGTTTGCGATCCATGTTTTAATCTTGTCTATCCTCAAACATGGCCGTTTTTTTATGGCTTATTATAAAGTCACTGGTGTCTATTTACCCAAAAAGAAAATTGTCTTTAACTTCCCTTCCAGCTGAAAACTCTTGTTTCAACCTTAAGAAAGGTCGTAAAAGCATGTCTTCGTGATTCCCTTTGATATCTATCTCCGAAATTCTGTCGCTCATTTTCCAAAAAATAAAGAAAAGTACATTAGCTTAAATATAATATTACTGTGAACAGTAACGCTGTTACTATTTCTGTGTGGCAACGTCACTTATGTTAAATAAGACTCATTTGACACCCGTAATGCGGATAAGTATTCCCTGGCGACAGTAAACTTGATTCTAGAACTTTTTTTTCTCATGAAAACCATGATGCACTCGTTCAATTTCTTACTTATTCATTTTAAGCCTCAGTGGGTTGTCGCCACTTCTGGGAGAGGATAACAATGAGACCCTAGCCAATGTGACTGCCGTCGAGTGGGACTTTGAAGACGAGAGCTTTGACGTCATTTCTGACGAAGCTAAAGATTTCATTGCTCAACTAATGGTAAAAAGCCCCAGGTATGTTTAGTATGTTTAGTTACAACTGATAATGTCTGTCTGCCTAACATTAAGGTTTCTATGAGAGTTCTTATTACCCATCACTTTCTGAACAGTTCACGTTCTATAGCTAACCAGCGTAACAGTATCTATGTTATTTTTTAATTTTTATTTCTGTTCTATTTACCTATTTTGAAACTTCAGAAAAAGGAACACGGTTATGCAAAGTTTGGAGCATGAATGGATGAAGGTAAATGATAATACTTTTAAGCATTTTTTAAAGAGCCACTTTAATAAACTCTGCATAATCATTTCATTGATGTTGAAATCAGCAGCGGCAAGGTTTGAAGCTTTCACATTCCTGGTCAAAATCAGTAATCTGCTGTGTGAGTGACTTACGTTTTCTCATGTGATGTTTCTGCTAGATTCGATGTCAGATCAAATCAACACCTCGAGTTGATTTTTTTTTTTAATTCTCACTCACTTGCTTGACAATGCAAATTATTTTGCATAAGTTGTTGATTGTTATTGTTTAATTATGGTTCAAAAGGAAGGGTCCAACCAGAGCGGTCTTAACTAGAAAAATATGAAATCGTCAATAATCCAAGCTTGGCTTTACTTTGGATGGCTAAGTATGGAAAACAACTAAATAAGTGCGAAACAGTTGCAATGCTAAGGCCAACTAGATGATCAATTTATTGACTACTGGTTTTATTTTCCTTATTTCTTTGACAGAAAAGTGCGTCAACAAACGCTATCAAGATAGACACCAAGAAGTTAAAACAATTCTTAGCCAAACGAAGGTGGCAGGTGAGAGGCTGGTAGTTATTCCCCAAAGTCCTTAATAGCACTGTTACAGAAGCGTTAGTCAAAAAACCATATTTTTTGTTTCACTTCAGGACTTGTGTCCGCGATGTTTTGCTTGGGTAGATAAGGAACATGTAAAACCTTCCCTACTCATTCCACAGCTTCTCTTTGCCTTTGGATTAAAATTTGTTTTTGCTTTATTCCTTTCATATTGTAATAGATATTTATGAAATATTAATGAAGCAATGAATGAATGATTACTAACATTGATGATTTGACGTGATTTGCTGACTTTAATAACTAACAATAATCAATAATTTGAAATCAATACGGTAAATTAGTGACTTAATACTGAGTTTTATTTATGGTTCTAATCAATTGTCGTATGCACGTATCCTTGATATTAGAGTACACGTTTTAATTTGATAGCGTTAACCTTTCAGTTAATGACTCACCGATAACAGCTCAGTTCTAAACGTCTTAAAATAGTACCGTGATGAAAGTCCCACAATTTCGGCCACAGATGCACAATGTGGTAAATCCAAGCAAAGTATCATCTAAACTAATCTAACAGGCACGGTACTTGTGTGGTAAATACGGGCACTCGCAACCCAGATCACGTCAGTCAAATCTATACAATCATGTACTCATAGATTCCCTTCTTAAGCGAATGTGCCAATCATCCAAAGATGCTGACTGAGGATGAAATCCTCGAGGTTAGTCGAGTGTGGAATCATCAAGTGTTGCCATGGTAACAGACGTTGTCGCAAATTGTGTTCCTTGAAACTCAGCTTTCATTTCCTTGACATGGTTTCGTCCTTATGTTGGTTGAATTCTTTCCCACTTCTTACTTTTGCCGAAGGATTATTTGTATTGGTAACGTCCAGACTACCTTAAATTAAGGCTTACAATAGGGGGGCGAAAAAACTGATCAGAATTTAAATCAGAGCTATTTCTGAAAGTCTTTATGCCTCCTTCGAAATTCAGTTTGCATCCTCAAAATTCAAAAAACCTAAAACTTAGTATTCAATTCAGTGCAATCCAAGATGTCAGCTGTCAAAGAAACGATTGAATACATTAGTTAGGTTAAAAATACACATTTTATTTACTCATCGTACGACTCTGAATGGAGAAGCTGATCCAAGATAATTGTATATAATAGAGACTCCGAACCGCGCCCTGGTTACTTTTTGTAAATAGTTGTCCTCACGACGAAGCGCATATCAAGGCAAGTTAGTTCGCTTTCAGCGGCTCTGGCCATTTTAAATTATGGTTGGATGGATATGGTGTATTTTCTTTTATGCAATACTTTTCCTGTAAGCAATTCATAAGATATGATTGCCGATCTATGCAAGCCTAGAATTTTATTCTAAAAGCAATCGAAACAGAGGTCTTGCATGTCAAGTGACTTTAGTTTTTTCTTTTCCTTTTAGAAATCTGTTAACGCACTGAAAGCGGTCCGTCGATTATCCACCTTGTCGTCTCTCATGAACCTCAAGAGTCGTCCCTCAATTGCACCGTCATTACCAACTCTTCCTTCTGCCAAGGAGGATGTTGAAGATGCAACTGGCTCTAATGAAATTCGTAAAGGAAAAGACGAGAATGACGCTGGAGAAACAACAAACGAGGAAAACGTATTAAAAGAAGAGAATGATGAGGAAAGACCAAAGGGCAAGTGTCTAAACCATCTTACAATTGATGAACAGAATAAGTTGACTGTTTTAACCTTTGGCCGGCTAATTGACAAACGGACTAGCCTTGAGCGAGATGAATGAATACCTAGTTGAATCCATGATTCATTAGCTTCTCTTATGTTTGATTTAGTGGCTTAAATGACTGACTGTCTGATTGACTGAAAATTCCGTTAGCGGCTCGGTGTGTGAGGGAGATGAGTGAGGGGGATGAGTAAGGGAGTGCGTGCGTGCGTTCGTGCGTGCTTGAATGAACGTGTGCTTGAGTCACTGAGGTAACGAGTGAGTGGGTGAGTGGTTCAAAGTTGACATACCAGCTAACTTAGCAAAAAGCTGGACTGCTTCCTGGGTAAATGAATGACTGATTGACTCACTTAATAAGAAACTTACTGATAGTTGTGCAAACTAACTGATACATTGCCGGCAAGGGGTTGTCTTCATTTGGCTGGAATGTGAAATGTTACTGTAGAAGATGATTTCTCCGTTGGGTTTAAATCAACCAGTTGAATCATGCATGGATTATTTGTTTGTTAATTCAACTGACTGAGTCATTGATTAATTAATTGACAGAACCACCGGTATTCAGCAAAGAATTAAGTGACCTCTCTATCACAGAGGGAGAAACGGCTTCCTTTGAAGTTGTCATCGAGAACGACACCAATTGTCAGATTCATTGGTTAAAGCATGGTGTAGAAGTAATTGAGAACCAGCGGTTGAAGGTTGAACGTCATGATGATGGACGTCATTTGCTCCTCATCGGGAATATAGCAGATGATGATTGCGGAGAGTATTCTTGCGTAGCTGAGAACGAGGCTGGAAAGGCGATAAGTACAGGGACGATTTCCATACAACGGTCTTGTAAGTATTAACTAAGGCTACCTCATATTCAAATGTCATAGCCATCAGCAAAGTCATCTAACATTTTTAGTGACGTACACAGAATCTGTGATGCCAATCGACAAGGCTATGATTCCTCATTGTATCTAATGATCTTTCGATTGGAGAAGTAGATGACGTTAAATTTCTGAAATTAAATATTAAGACAAAAGTAATGATAATAACCATAGGAATGATTACATTGATTAACTCATTTTCGTTTACAGCCCTTTCGAAAAGCGACGAAACCGACGAGGAAGATGAAGAAATAGACAACTCTATAGGTAAATGTCGATGGCCTTCGCTGAAGTTGGTGTTTTTAAAGGTTAAATTGATCATGATGTTAATTTTTGATCACCTTTTAAAACTCAAATAGAAGTTCCAGTTTTCAAGAAAGAACTCCATGACATAACAGCAAGTGAACACGACAACGTTACTCTCGAGGTGATTGTCAGTGGTGACTCGCCCTACGAACTGGAATGGTTTAAAAATGCCGTTGACATAACTGAAAACGATCGTGTTTCCGTGGTTAAACACGAAGACGGCCGATTTACCCTTAACATTCGGGAGTGTGAGGACGACGACACCGGAGAGTACTGTTGCGTAGCTCAGAATGAGGCTGGAAGAGTCACGTGTGCAGGATGGTTAACCGTTGAAGGTATGCTTACACACTAATGTCTCTCACGTTGTCTCACTTTCTAAGCCTCATCATCAAACTTCTACATAAAATCAGTTTTTTTTAATATCCCTTTGAGCGTGTCCTACATCATTTGTAGTATAAAATCGCACATGATTTTAATAAATAAACGCCTCCAGATCAACAAAGCAGGCTAAATATTGAAGATTAAGACTTCAAATGAACTTGTGTTTTCCCAGTGGAAAGCGTCTTGTCTGAGGATGACGAAGAGACTGAGTCAGAGAGTGAAGATGAATTTGTACCAAAAGACTTTGTTGCGATTAGGGAAGGCGATGTACAAAAATTCTACTGTATCGAAGAAGAGGTTGGCAGGTATGTTAACAATGGGAGGGCTAATAACGATTCTGTTTGGAATTGAATTATTTCCATAGAAATCCTGATGCGTTTACTATCGCTCTCTGTGGCTCATCCTACTCTTTTCAAAGTTATGTTTTTCCATTTTTAGGTCCTCACTTACCTTTTAAGGTTTAATCTTGGTACCTTGGCTCTCGAGCCTTGCGAAAAAGTGTTTCGGTCAGCTACATTGCTTTTTTCTATAACTCGTCAGCTTGTTAGAACAGGTGTACCTTGAATAATTTCATGCGGAAAAAAAAAAAAAAGCTCGCCTTCTCCTTTTATCGTTTTCTGCGCTCAGCTGCAATTGGCGGTTATAGCCAACCCGTCTTTCTGCTTGTTCTGAGTTTTTATGCATTTGTAGGATGCACTTAACCTTAACATTTCACTGACGTAAAACAAATCTTTTTTATTACCCAGGGGTCGTTTTGGGATTGTTAAGAAGTGCGTCGAACTTGACACTGCAACGAGGTTCTGTGCTAAGTTAATCAAATCGCGACCCAGTCAAAAGGAGGAGTTTAAGCGCGAGATTGACGTCATGAATACCCTTCACCATCCTCGGATAATTAGACTCTACGATGCGTTTGAAGAGCCCAGGCAGATTATCCTTATATTGGAGTAGTAAGTTACCTTGGACGAGTCTTTTATGCAATTAATCTTGAATTTGGCTTGTTGCTTTAATGATGAAATGGATACTCAGATCGTGAAATCTACCGACCCTACCCGATCAGGTTCATCCATATTTCCTAAGTCCGAGCAGATTTGGCCACGGTGCGTATAAAAAATGTCCTTCAACTCGAAAAAGGACCTTATTTTGCCAAGAGAATGGTATGCCCTGATATACGAACATGCCTCTTTTCATCTAGATCCCCTTAAAGTCTCTTTCACTGACGGTTTTCAAGCTGGTCTGCTTAGCTTATAGATAGTAATTTACCAAATAACTTCGAATAGATACCGTCGATACCGTGTAGCGAACCATATCATTCGTCCCCAATGCTCGTATGGTATGACGTTATTCGTAACCGTCATTCTAGAACATCTAACGAAGTGACTAAAATACCCCAGCATGGCGCGAAATAAACGTATAACATCTGATACAAATTCTTTGCTCTTTGCATTTTCGACGAGAGTGATGCCAATTTTCTCTCCCACCCATTTAGATATTTTTCGAATTTTTCGGTCGCCACTGTGAACTTTTGATTTATTTCTCAATAAAATGTGGATAAATTTTAACTACTTTTCTTTAACTGCAATGTTGATTTGTCTTATTTCAGTTGCAGAGGAGGTGATTTATTCAATCGTATTGATGGCGATTCTCTTCCTGAGTTCGAAGCAGTAAAAATCCTCAAACAAGTTTTGGAGGCTGTCAAGTACATGCACGACCTTGGTTTCATGCATTTAGACTTAAAGGTTAGCAATTCATCGTCTTTTATCCTCTAATTAAAAAAAAAATTCAAACAGCATCCTAACTCGATTTGGAAGTTGTGTACTCAGTCAACGGCACCATTGAGAATTCATCTGTGAGCTGAGTCTCATTCAAACTAACGTCAAAAACCCTCTCATTTCATCCGAGCTTTAAGCTACTTCACTACCGACTTAACTATTCCAAACGTTTTCTTTGCAGCATTGTCATGGCTCTGTGTAAATTAACACTAATTCTTTTTCGCCTTCGTTTCGTCTGCAGCCACAGAACGTGATGTTTAAAAATGAAGGCGGTTTAAAGATAAAATTGATCGATTTCAGTCTAACAAAGAAGTTTGATCCTGAGCAAGAAACAAAGATATCGTTCGGAACTGCTGAATACGTTGGTAATTTTACCTTGGTTGATTAACAAAGTCATCTATCTGTCTTTTTGTCTGACGTTTTATTTGTGTAGGTGGGTCAGTGCTGGTAGTTTTGTTTCTTATCTGTTTGCCATTTATTTTGTTCTTTTCCATGTTAGCATGGAACTTTAATGAGTTACACTCTTGTACTAAGAAGTTGCTGGTAAAACTCGAAACCAGGTTAATCTTGAAATTTCTCTGAGACATAGTGCCCTTCTTTCCACACGCAGCTCCAGAAATTGTAAACTACGAGCCTGTAACCTTAGCAGCAGACATGTGGTAAGATTTTTAGTGGTAATGGCATCAAAAATAAGTCACATGTGATGAGTTTAATCATGGGCATTTTATATCGGTCGACGGATAACTGATGCAAATCTATCCTTTTTATTTGCTTTCAGGGCGATTGGTGTTATTGCTTATATTATGTGAGTATGGCTAGTCTTGTAAAGGAAAATATTATAACCAGTAGTGGAAAGCTGTAGATTGAAACCTCTATTCAGGAATGTGTTCAGTTTATTTTTTCGGCCAAGACTTGAGTGTTTGCTTCTTGCATGAAAGTGTTCCAAAAGATGATTACCCCTGCACGTATATGCATAAAAATTAAAACACTTGTAGCTCTTACTTTATCAATCTAATCATTAAATCAACCATTAATACGACGAAAGCTTCGTTTTCATGTTTACGTGACGCCACAAAATGAGCCCTAACTGTAAATTTTCAATTTAGGTTGAGTGGCGAATCTCCGTTTCTTTGTGAGAGTGAGGCGGACACTTTCTCGCACATTACCGATGCACGCTGGGAATTTACAGACGTGTTTGATTACGTCAGCAAGGAGGCCAAGGACTTCATAACGAGGCTACTTCTCAAAGATCCAAAGTATTTGCTGATTCTTGATTACATTTTATGAAATTGTAGCGTTTTATACCGCAACACGAGTAGCGCGAAAATATAAATTCTTAGATGACTGTAGTAGTCTGCATATGAATCCGCGCGCATTCTTATGCTTTAATGAATCAATCCTTCCTCTTTATTCACTCAATGTTTTGTTTAATGGAGGAATGAACGCTGTTCATGAATGCTAATTCATCTCGTGGTGAGACAACAGTGAAGAGTTTTCTAGTCAAAGAAATTTCTACATAATATAAGTGTGCAATATACACAATAACCAATGCGCAAGTCAGAACAATTCGGGCTAAAAATTTAACAATTATACTTTCCGTTGGCACATTGATTGCTTGGTTTGTTTGCTCATATAATTTTAAAAAATTTTCTTTTTAATACCATTTTTCGACAAAACGTTCACTTCTCGCTCCATTAATGAATCAGCGAGTTATTTGATGTTTTCTTTCGATTGTTCTTTCCTAAGTGCTCTGTTTCTGTCTTTTCTTTCAGTTTTTTCATGGGGTTTCGTTTTCATAAATCTTTTGATCTTTTCTCTTCAATTGTTTGGTAACAAGTATCTCATAGAGTACGACATTCTCGTTAGGAATCGTTTTAAAGCTTTGTTATTATCTTCTCTGTAGAAAAAGAATGAAAGTAGACGAGTGTCTGGAGCATGAGTGGATCAAGGTAAATCAATTTTGATATCACCCTACAAGGCTTACCGTCGTGTTCAATAAGTCATGATTAAGTCACCTGTCTAGACCATTTTTTAAGGTTCATTACGTTATATTTCAATGCATTTTACTGTGCTCTTTATGATGGCTTTAGTCACCAGGGTTTACTGGAAAACGGAAAAGCAAGAACTCCTCGGAGGTAGGTCAATACACAAAAGTAGTTTGTTGGTTTTTCTTGCTAGTATTGTTTCTCCTCAAAGTTCAATTCCAATATTCTATATACAACTAAAGTTAATCCATTCAATCAAATTTTTGCTGAAAGCTTTTTCCTTCCTTCCTCGATTGTTCTTCCGTCCGTGGTTAGTTTGTTATTCTTTTCGTCCCTTATTTTTGTTTTTTTCCGTTGGAATTAGCCCTTATTTATCTGTTTTATTTTTTTGTAAGGATAGTTTCCCGTTCCTCTTTCTTTCTCAATCAAAGATTTACTCATTGCAGGGCGAGATGACTATTGACCAAAACTCAAACGTTACATCGCCAACAGAACTGATGAGACAAGGTAACTATCGCTATTGGAATCAGCCTTAGGTGGATTGGCGAACAGAGTATAAATTCTAAGTCACGATCTCTAATTAGGTCTGAAAAGGTGGTAATTAACTATTGTTATGTTACGGGAGACAAAGGTGTTTGAACATTTGGGCGTAATCCATGGCCGACTATAAAGATCATCTCAATCCATGTTCCAAGGCAGTTCTTGGATACGCACATGTTTGTAATTCCCCCAACGTACGTTAAAAGAAAATATCTTCGTCTCTACAGAGAGCAGAAAGTCTGAGCTAGAATTACCACTGGATCCAAGGAAATTAGAGTCTAAAGTTAAATCACTGCTATCAAAGTTACAAAACGCGGAAAAGGAAAACCAAGAATTGGAAGAAAAACTCCGTGACGTGGAAGACCGCGCCGATGCCCTGGAAGATGAGCTTCACACAAGTCAGAGTTCTAGAAGGGTTCTGGAAGACAGGGTGTCAAAATTGGAGGCTGAAAAGACAGATCTTTCCAAGAAGGCAAAAACTAACAGTGATGTTTTAAAAAGGGTAGCAGAATCAGAGGGAGATAAGAGAGCCCTGGAAGATAAACTATCCGAGCAAACTCAACATTTAGAAAACTTATCACAGAAATACGACTCTCTCAAGGAAAAGATTGAGAATTACGATATTCTAGAAGAAAAGGTTTACCTTTTGGAACGGGAAAGGAAAGACCTCAGAGATACAAAAAAGTCATTAGAAGACAAAATTGCACATCTTCAGGTGGAAAAGGAGGAATTAACAAAAATGAACGAGACGAATTCCTTGATCAATAGAGACCTTGACAATGAGATCGCAAAGCTTAAAGCGCACAGAGACGAGAATGAAAACCAATACCTTTGTTTGCGAACCGAGAAAGAGTCTTTGGTCGAGGAACTCACGAAGCGATTCAATATTTTAGATGAACAGAAAAAGTCTCTTAGCCAAGATAAGAGTAACCTAGAGACAAAGTTAAGCGCATTTGAAATCGAAAACAAGAATTTGAGGCTAAAACTTGACGACTTAACACAAGACATAGAATCTTTGAAAGAAGTTTCCAAGCAAAATGAGCAGGGGAAAGAAAAAGAAGAACTAGAAAAAGAATTGACGAAAATTAAAATACAAAAAGACGAAGCCAAGGAAACTTGTGAAGAATTGACTTCAAAACTTAGCAAGGCATACGCAGAATTGAAACAGTTAAATCCCGCAAAAATGGGTGATGTGACAGGTGGGTAATGCATGTATGTATCGCTAGGAAGTCAGCTTATCAGTAAGGCGTCATGAGACTGAAACAGCTATAAGAAACAAGCGTCCTACGTAAATGTCAAGTGGTTATTGGTTCCAAATGCTAAGGTGTCCAATCAGTTGTCTCTGTAGAAAGTAAAGACTATTTATTGAACTAGGAGTAATCAAAAACCAATGCGGGGAGTCGCAGATTGGAGCTTTAGATGCGACAAGCGTCTTGCATACTGCTTAGATCAGCGATGTCTTGAATGTGGTGTGCGCAAACGTTTAGAATATTCGGAAGATTGAGCGAAAGACGAGAAGGCAGCCAACAGCTTTATCATCGCCACGTACGAATTCTCTGATAGATATTGATCCACCCAAATATTTAGAGCATGTGTTCGAAGAATAAGTCATATACAAACATTGTTTTTTTTGTTATCGATGTTGAGAAAACTTAGAATTTGTCATGGTATTCCGCATGAAAGTGTGCATGATAAACACTCTGACCACTCGTTGTTATGTTGTATTTCAATACAATTTTGTAGTTCTTATGAAACTGTAGGACTCCAAAACTACTGTTTTATGTTTGTTTGATTTTTGTTCCGTATGTTATTTATTTTCCTTAGAAAATCGCCAAGAAGATATTTCAGCTTTGAAGGAAAAGTTATCTTCTCTGGAGGAGGAAAGGGATAACCTGGAAGATGATCTCGATGACAGGGAAGCTGAAATTGTCGAATTAAAAGGGAAAATCGAGCATCTTGAGGCAGAGAACAAGGACAGAAACAAAGACATCATGAATTACAAGTCACAGTTAGAAGTAGCCAACGAGGAAATTAGGTCCTGGAGAACGAGAAAGGATGACACAAGCTCGGCGATGCCTAAAGAAGACCAAGGAAACCTGAATGAAAAAATAAAGGATTACGAATCTATGATGAGTAAGCTGACGAAAGAAATTTCTTCTTTACAAGGCAAACTTTCTGCATCAGAACAGCTTAACAAAACTTTGGAGGAAAAGGTGAAATCCAGCACACAGGTATGTATTATTGAATTTTTTTTAGTGTCGCATAAAGGTATAAGATAGAAACAGCAACAGAAGTGTAACGCTTTATTTATGTATTTTTAAGTCGGTCATCGAAATCATACTCGCCTCATTTTCTATTCGTTACCATAATTATTATACCATCATATCACGTAATCGTCTTTCGAGTTGTACTTGCTGTACTGATTACATTATAAAAAGATTCTGTTGCTGAAATACCTTTCGATACGAAAAAAGTGTGTTTCCCGTCGAAAAGTACCAGTACTTGTTTATATTTTATCGGAATAAAATAATTGATTCTGATTAGAAGCTGGTTGTATCTTAAAATCCTCAAGGCTACTCTGGTTTGTGCTTTAATCAAATTCATATTTCAGGAAAGTTTCCTCGATCCTAATATGGAGGGCGAAATCATTGGAAGAAGTGAAAATACACTAGAATACGCGTCTATGGATTTCGATTGCTTTGACACAGCTGACCATAGTCCAAGTGAAGATAGAAATGGTCGAGACGAACGCATTTCGCCTCAGGGAAGAATCAACAATGAGTTGAACAGAGAAGAAAAAAGCGAGAAGTTCGTCTTGTTGAAAAAAGAGTTCGAGAAAGTAAGGAGGATTTCTGAGGATGCTGAGACGAGGTTAGCGGAGGAATTAAAGAAGAATCAGATTTTGGAAGATGAGATTGAAGATTTTGAAGTAAGGGAAGAGAAAGGTCTGAGATTGTACAGAGAGCTAAAGGAGGAATGCAATCGATTGAGGGCACAGCTGAATGACAGTGAATCACCTGAGAACCAAGTTGAGGCTCGCTTGCGAGAAAAGCTAAAAAGTAATGAAGAAGAAACTGAAGCTCTTCGCAAGCAACTCGATTCGTTGAAAAAAGAACTACAAGGAATCAAAGAAGAAAGAGAAAAGGGTGACACACTTTATACTAACCTTTCTGAGAGATACAGAAATTTGTCGAAAGAGAAAAAGATCTTGGAGCAGGAGAAACATGAGCGCGATGAGAGCCAAACGAAATCGCGAGAGCTTGAGGACTCGTTGCAAACGCGAATTCTTGAACTAACGAACATGAAAGACGAGATTGAGTCCATGCGGGAAAAGCTGCGATCGCTGGTACGAGAGAAGGAGGAAGGTATAAAGGAATTTTCGATGCTTCAAAAAGACCTTGTCAAGGCAACAAATGACCGCCGTCAACTCGAAAAACAAGTAAAGGACGAAATATTCCGCGCTGAAAAAATGGAAAGAGACCGTTTCATATTACAAGGAAAGATTGAGGAGATGCAAAAAAGTCTGCATAAACAAGATTTGGTCGCGGCAGCTGATAAAAAGGCGATAGACGCCTACGTCGATGAAATTAGACTTCTTAAGGACGAAAAGGGCAACGCGGTTAAGGAAGTAGATAGGCTGAGAAAGCACAGCAAAAATTTGATGCATGATCTAGAGAAAATTTCAAAAGAAAGGGAAGACGTGGAAACTCTGAAAATCTTCAAAGAGCAAGCGATCAAAGAAATCAAAACTTTGAAAGATGAAAACCAACGCCTTAATCAAAAGAGCGAAGATGTCGACCGAATAACAGCCGATCTTAACACTCTCAGGGAGGAAAAAGCAATTGGATTGCAACATCTGGGAATTTTAGAAGAAGAAAGTGAGATTGCTTCGAGAAAGATTGCAGCACTAAAAAGTGAAAATGAGCTTCTTCTTGAGAAAGCTAACCAGCTCGAAGAATTGAAAGAAGCCTTTGAAACACTAAAAGATGATGCCGAAAGCCTACGAGAAAACATCGAGGCTCTAAAACTCGAGAGAAAGGCCACAGAGAAAGAAATTGAGGATTTAAGAAATACGAATAATCTTCACCTTGAAAAGATTGTGGAATATGACAGAATGCTGGAGGATCTTGAAACATTGAAAGAAGAGAAAGTAATGGGACTAAAAGAGTTAAGTAGCTTGAGAGAGGAAAATGCTGCTCTTTTGGAAGAGGTCAAGGTAACGGATGAACTTAAGAGAGAATGTGACCTCATTAAAAGCGAGAAAGAGAGAACATTTGAAGAAAATAGGATTTTGATTGAGCGTAACGAATCCTTAGTCAAAGAACAAGAAAGCGATCAAAGAATAAAATTAGCATTTAAGGAAGCGGAAGATGAGGCCGAAAGGATTTCCAAGGAAAATGGAGTCTTGGCGGAAAAATGCCAAACTCTAAGGAGCAAAATTAAGGAGTTAACTTTGCTCAATGATAGTCATTTGATGGAGCTGAGCAGGTTGAATCATAATTTGGGTGAATCTAGGAAGGAAAAAGAAGCTCTTTCGGCTGAGCTTGAATCTTTCCATGTTATCAAAAAAGATCTCAATGCCTCATTGGAAAGCAATCGGAGACTTAATAAGGAATTAAGAGATCTCGAAGTCAACTTGGAAACTCAAGCTTTGGAAACGATGAGATTGAAAAAGGAAATAAACGTCCTAAAGAAAAAGAATGACGCTCTGACAACGGAAATTGAACGCCTTCAAGGACAGAATGCCATCATAGAAAATCAAACCTCGATAGCACTCTTGGAAGATGGGGAAGAATCAGAGCAGATTTACGAACCGAAACCTAGCAATGCTACAGACGTACGAAGAAAACTTGACGAATTCACAACTTTTGAAGAAATAGCAGGTAAATACAACGTTGAAGAAGAAAAGCCTGGAAATGTTAAACTTACAAAATGTAACAAACGCAACGAAACAGAAGCCTTAAAACAAGAAGTGGATTTCCTTCAGAAAGAAGTTGAAGACTTAAGTGAAGATCACAAGGAACTTTTGCAGTCTTATAACGCCTTGCAAAAAGAATATGATAATTCTAAAGATAAATTTGGCATTCTTGAAAAGAGTTTGGAAATAAAGTCCAGAGAAATGAAAAGTATGACCGAAGTAAGAGACCTTTTAGAAAACACGAAGATTGAACTTGAAAACGAGCTGAAAGTTACATCCCAAGAAAAGGTCCAAGTCAGCAGGGAACTAGAAACTTTAAAAGAAAAGTTTGATTCTCAGTACCGCAGTCTGGAGAACGCCGAAAAGGAAATTGGAAATCTATTTAAAGAAAATGAGGAACTACATCAAAATCACATCGAACTGGAGGAACGGTACGGACGTATCAGGAAACTGAACAGAGAACTCGAGGAGGACATTGATATCGAGACTGGAAAGCTCGTTGAGGCAAAAGAACGCATTTCTGAACTCAAGAAAGAAAATTCCCTTCTTCAACAAATGAATTTAAACCTGCAACACGAAATTGAAAAACTGAAAGGAGTTCCCGAGTTAAGTGGTCAGGAACAGGGCGGAGTGGCCAAAAAGGTTAAACATCTAGAGAAAAAGATAAGTGTTGCTCAACTACAAAAAGGCGATTTTGAAACTCGATCTCACGGGGAGAAGAACAAAGCCCAGAACGCCACCGAAAAGAACATGGTCAAGGTTTTGGGAGATGAAACACGAAAGCCTCAAGGTTGGACAGAAAACGTAAGGGAAAATAAACCACAGCAAAACCAGGGGGAAAGAACAGTATGGACACTAGAACAAGAAATAAAGAGCCTTCGTCCCAACAAAGAACGAGCTGAGGCCTTGGCTAAAGAATTGGATCAGGTTAAACAAAGACTTGACAACGAAATAAAAATTAGGGAAAGCAAAACTGAAGAGAGCAGCCAGAAGAAAAAAGAAAACGACTCCTTAATTTACCAGCTTGAAAGCACCCGTCACAGAATTGTTTCAAACGTGATAAATCCGTTGGAAGAAGCGAAACTCCCGTGGAAATTTCACGTCACCGCCGCCGACATATCAGCGGGAAAAAGTAAAGCATGGTCGAGCATCAAGGAAAGTATTGGAACCCTGATATGGGACCGAGAAAGATTGGTAAATGACAACAAGGTCTTAAAGCAAGAAAATACCGAGCTGAAGCGCGAATGCCAAGAACCAATGAAAGGCAAAGAAAAAATCAAGGTAGGATGGTTTTGGTAGTACTAAGAAATTAATATACACATTCGCCACGGAGTGGACTAGATGTTTCCTTCGAGTAAATTTGATCCTACTCAGCGGTGAGATTTTCGATGAAAACTCGCCGAGGATAGTCTCTCTCAAGTGGTCGTTTTCACTGCTGATAAGCTGACATGATACCAAACCTTAATGACTGACCGATGGAATGGCTAACACCAGTAGTTGACTGACTCACTGACCCAGTCTCAGTTTGTTAGACCAGCAGGTTTCATAACCTACAAAGTGACCTTATTATAACGTACTTCAACCATTTTTCTCTTTTAGAAATTTGAAGAATTGGTCGGTAACCATCCCACGGATGAAGACATCTTATCCAAAAAGCAAGAAATAAAGGCTATTCACGAGACAATAGCTTCTGATAAGGACAAGTTGACACAACTTCAACAACAAAAAGAAGATCTGCTTCTTAAAATCGAGTTTATGAAGCGAATGCAATCAACTGCTGGCCAAGAGAAAGATCAACTGGCAGCTGGAAAGAGCCTTTTTACGTCGGATGGGAGACTGGGGCCGAACTCTCACTCAAGGTTTAAGTTTCGTAGATTTCAATCTGTGGAGAGTATTTCAATCCTTAAAGAACGGGATACCTTCGAAGAGAAGCAAGATCCTGTTGATTTTCCCACACAGACTCTCACCGTAAAAACGCAGTGGACTGGGAACGAGCGAAGCGAAATCTCGACAGGCGAGGAGCAACTACAAGTTGCGCGACAATTGGTAAAGAAAAATCGAAGAATATTCGAATTGGAGCAGGTTGGTTATCAAAGCGAAATGCACTTCTATGCACCTGCACCAACCACTGGAGGATTCACGTTGTTACTTCACGCACGCAACCGTAAGCTAATGGCACTGTCAATGTAAAAGCTGCACCTTTAAAAATGAACTATAGCTGCAATAAGCATTAAGAAAGTTGCTATTAATTTTAAGTACTGTTATAAAATAAAAAGAATAACCTGGGCCAGAAGAAAGTATTTCCATCTAAAAAAAAAGTGAGAACAGGTAGCCATAATTATTTTCAAGGGTTTACACTTAAAGAAACACACTGCGGTGTTAAAGTAATCATTGTTTATTTGCAAAATGGCACATAAATTAAAGGGACTATAAATGTTAAAAAAAACACGTTAGTTGTTACACCACAAAAAACCGTATGCACGGAGGCACCTTTTTTTTTCAATCATAGCCTAAGCACTTATCTATCGTGATGCACAGTTATACCAACCATCTCTGCTTTAGTACAACGGATACCTTATTGTAGAACAATGACTATATAACAAACTGTTGTTGCCCATCCTTCTGACAAGTGAGTCTCCCAAAAATATTCCTAGAATAGTCATAGGGTAGGTCTTAAAATTGGATCAAAACACATCATTTTCCTTCGCACTTTTCATTTATACCAAAAACTAGTCTTAGCTTTAGCTAGTCATTTGCACTGAAATTTTTCACCTTTCATTTCCTTTCTGTAAATCTATAATGAAATGGACAAAAAGGTTTTTATACGTTTTTCAATTCAGCACAAAACATTAACGACACTTTGTGGTTTCTGAAACTCTAGGAAATTATTTCAGTCTGTAACGTTATATACTCACACCTTGTTTACTAGGAAGTTGATGTACTGCTGACCAAAATCGAAGAATCCTCACCCGGAAATGCGGCAGTGGAAAGCTTTTCATCAGACGTAGAAAATTTCAAAGCGGAAATTTTACGACTCGAGGGCGAGAACAAACGGCTGAAAGAACTTGCAAATGAGCCAATACTTGCGTCATCACAGAAAAAAATGGAATCGTTAGAAGCCATGAATAACTTTCTAAAAAGCGAAAAAGAAGAGCTCATTCTAGAAATTTCTGCCAAGAATAAGAAAATTGAACTTTTGGAGAAACGCGTTAGGGAGTTGACCGAGATGAGGAGTAATGTCGTCAATGGATCGAGAAATGGAATTCACGACGAGGCTGATTTGCAAATAAATGCATTAGATGAGGAACTCAGCAAGACTAAGCACAGAGTATGTGAGCTTGAGGTAAGAAATTCTCAGGTAACTCATGACTTTGTCAATTGCGTTGTGGCATCTCTGGTTGAGGGTGGGATCCTCAGTTTATGCCTGCTCTGAGAGAAATTCGAGTTTCGTAATTCTGAGGTAAGTTTGATTAAGAGTACTAATTATCAGAATTTTCGTTTTTTTTTTGTCCTCCGTAGTTCTTAATGTAAGTTCAGTCTACATAGATTAAATCCTCTTTCGATCCCGTAGCTCATGACATTCCATTCACAGAATCACCGAAGGCTTAAAAATGCGTTGCACTTGTACACTTTCTTCCTCTTCATGAAAGTAAAGGATTACCGACATCATAATTACAGAGATTAGCATTCCACCACTCTAACTCAGCTTGTAAAACGTTTCCTTAATTTATCCAATCCAGGCTGAACTTGAACATCTAAGCAACAGTCACAAATCCAAACTAAAGCGAGAGCTGGACGAAGTCGAGGCAAAGTGGACAAAACGGTTGAGGTTTGTTTTATTTTCTTGAATTTTTTATAACCCTACGCAATACTTATTTTCAAACAACTTGAAGGTCTAACAACTTTGATTTCATTCTTTTTTAAATCAGAAAAGAGTGCATGGAGCTTCAGTCAGAGTTGTCGGAGAAACACAGCAAGGAAAAACAGCTTTGGCAAAAGAAAGAAGTGGAACTTCAAAACATTGTAAGTGGTCATCAAATCCGCTGTGATGAATGGAACAAGTCATTATATCACGAGCTTACTGTTCCATTGCTTTTGAAGGTCGCCCCTTTTTTTCCATCGATTTAAGGAAAAGGATTCCTTCTAGTTTTCCCAAACGATAATTTAAAACGTCATATTATGGTCTCCAGCCATTCGTCAAGTCTCTCGTACACGTAAGTTGTACCCATTCAAATTCTTAAAAGGAAAGGGCGATGTAATTTTTAAGCGTCTCACATAATAACGCAACACACTGACCCTAGAAAGTATTCAGACCAAAACCATTTTATTCATAGTTCAATACGCATATAACATGTCTATCGCGTCTCGACATGCAAAGGGTATGTGTGATTCTTAGAGAAAGCACATTTAGATTCTTATGAAAATCACTTCCTGAGAATGATTCTTGTCTATGAGTGCTGCTATTTATCATCAATTTGTCTGCCTGTTGTGGCATATCCATATTTCATTGTGAACAGATCTGCTTCTGTCATTCTACGTTTGAATAAACGCTCCTGTGTGACTCGTCAAAACTTTTCAAACTCAGGAATTAAACATCAGGTTCGTCCCTTCTCAACGAAAAGTGAAAGAATAATGATAGTTATTTTTTTCTTTGGAAGATTCGTCAAATGAAGATCGTGATGGACAAGAGGCTTAGTCAAGCGGAAACTGAACGGAGGAAACTAGAACAGGAACTGAATACTGTGAAAACGTCCGGTTTCCATAGCAGCACGATAAGCCTCGATTCAAACTCAGACGACTCGGCTGGAGGAGTATCTCCAGATCCAGGGAAAGGCAACGATGCGACTCAGTCTGGTTTGTTTTTTAATTTATTTTTGTTCACAATTAACTAATTCTTGCATCAGATACCAATTCAAGACTCCACGCGGGTTATTGACACTAATAATCGACAAGTGTAGAAAGAAACTTCCGGGGTCTTAACCTAAGGGTACAATTTCTTTAGTCATAGTGGAAGAACTGTGCAAGTTTTAAGCAATTCAAGTAATAAAAAGTTCACAAAAATCAACTAAAGGCGACGTAAACAAATTCGATATGACAATTGCCAAAGCTGTCGAGGATTAAAGAAAAGCTGGCATCATTTAAGGCATAGAGAAACAGAGTAGTAAACCATTGAATAAAATATTTTGAAGAACTTCAAAGGGGGTCACTGATGAGTACAATTTAAAATACTTCTATGACACTTCTTCCATTTTGTTTCTGCCGTCAAATTATCATTTTGTTTTTTCGTCTCTTACAGATGGTTTAAGCGACCGCGAACTACGGCGAGTTGCTTACAAATTGAATGGAGAGGAGTGGTCTCGGCTTGGAACATTCCTTGGGGTAGGGGACAGGGATCTTGGTCAGCTCGGTGGACTAAGCATGGGTCCTCAGGAGAAAGCTTTTAAATTATTGGTCATGTGGAGGACTCGATGTCGTTTAAGCCGAGCTCAAATGATTTCGCATTTAGCTGTAGCGCTCGAGGAGGTCAACAGAAAGGATGTTGCCCAGTTTGTTTTGGAGCAATTTATGTCTGGAAAACCTAGAAAGAAATTGTTTGGGTGGTAAATAAAATATTGTCAATTGATGTATAATATTTTTTTTAGTTATTTTTGAAGTAACTGCTAGTGAGTGGTTGGCGAGACCTACATGAATGTTGCATGCGTAACAACCAAGGTAAAAAGTCTTCGTGTTACACCATCTCACCATTTTCAAAGGTATATCAACTCATAAGCATTACAGAGAAGTTGTAGTCAATTAAAATTGAGTAATTTATAATCTATCAATGACAATCAATCAGATCAAGGCTGCAAAAGGTGAAGCAGTTGACAAACGTTGAGCTAGATCGCAGTAATAAACTAGAGAAGAAAGTTTTTTTCCTAATGAAAATGTAATTGATATTTTAAGTACCATGGTGAACTGCAGGATTACAACGTGTCCATAACGCAAAAAAGATAAATAATATTAAGAGAGTCACCTAGCGTTTAGTGATGGAGGTAGATGATTTGGAAAACTTTACAAAAGTGGGAAACAATAGAATAAAGAAATCATATTTAAGACTCAACTGGCTAAAATGTCTCTGATGTTCAGTTTCATTTTTACACATTGTTCTTCAGATGAAACTGACCCATTGGACTCGCTCCTCAAAGGTGGCTACCGATAAAATTATGATTAAAACTCACTAATTATCAGACACAATATTATCAGACACACACGCAAGAAAAAACAAAAACAACAGTAACAACAAAAAATGGCAAACTAAAAAGGAAAAGATAAATAAGCAAAGAGCAAACCACAACGCCATGGCTTTGGCACCACTGGTAAAGCAACAAAAATGATCATTGCATGGACAAAAAGGCTCTGAATAAGGCAGAGAGATGATAATCAAAGTTGTAACAATAATATTAACAACATTAGCAATTATAATAATGATAATAATTGTGGTTGCAATACTAGCTTTACTGCAGCTTAGCAAAAAGTCAAAGCGCAGAATGACAATTTTCTTTTAATCACCGAGTCATTCGGCACAAAGTTTGGATCAATATCAGTATCTGGGCAACTGCCCACTTACCCCTCCCC